CGCTAAGTACAGTTTACCACAAAATACCCCTAATTCATCATACAGGAAAATAGGAGGCTGATAGCGGCTGAAAGACGAGATAGAGTTTTCTTAAACTGAGTGAAACTGATCCCTGTCTTCCTATAGCCAATATGTAACTAAAGACACTCATCAAGACTCATTCACTAGTACTGATGTATGGGAGTGTGTCCTTATATTAGTGTAAAGTATGCATTATGATTGAGAGACTGGAACTGAAAGATGCTAGCTCAATCAAACCTACAGGTTTATTCCAAGCTTTCCTCCAAATTTGGATGAAGTTAACTGAAAAGTATAGACAATAGACATGTCACGAAAACCTGAATTTGATTTAGGCCTATTTATATTTGAATTTCTAGTTTGAAACTGAAATCCAGTACACCTCTTTATCGTTATACAATACAAAGAGATGTGATCTTCTTGTCCAGTGTAATACTATCTCGTTTTGATTTGGAGTCACATATTAAAGCTTATTTTAGGTTACTCTGGGCTGCTTTGTAGTGAGATACCTCGAAGAATAACGGACTCATCCATTGCCACAGATGGATTCTGCGAGAATAAGGACAACGCAATGATTCATTTAAGATAACCATTTACATTTGATATGACAGACTGCAGCGTAATTATGATAGTATTTGCTAAAGTGTATTGCTTGTAAATGTGTCCATTCTTGGGAATGACAAATGCTTAGCTTTAGCCAGTTCCTTTATGAAGAAAGGAAATGCTATAACCCGTTAACATCCACTAGATGTCTCTGCAACACTGTGTTAATTCCACGTGCCTCAAGAAAAGGATGAATGTATCTACACTGAATGATCAATAAGTGACATAATACCATACTATGTTCACTAAATGTCCTTCTGATTGCTGTTGAAGATACACTTAATCTTGGACTGAACATTTGCAACACATTGTCTCTTCACTGGGAGCTAAGATGTACGTATATAGGCTTCCCTACATTTATCTCATTGTGTCAATCGTTTTTTTGATTGAGACTTGAACTAAGCTAGAAGTCTTTCTCTAGTAGATCCTACATGTTAGTTTCTCATAGCCTCTTTTTGCAATCTAATTCCCCTAAGTCTCAGCATTTCCTCCATGTCTTACAGAAAGGCTAAGACTTAGTGTACGGCACTAAGAAAAGCCATACATTACCTCTGCTTAAAACTATAACAATATTGTTTAGAAAGGGGCTTCATCATTCGTGATTCTTTCAATGCACCTTCAGTTTGAGATCTGTTAAATAGTTAAGTCCTTTAAGAGAAAGCAGCATTAGAAAAGCGTCCAAGACCATTTAAACTGTACCAGAGAAGTAACTGAAGATGATGCTCAATTGTGTCCCTCATTTTAATTGGCTTAGGCTGATTTAAGATGCACAAATAGCATAGCGCCTTGCAAATTTAGAAAGAAATGGATGATGACAAAGGCAGTGAGCCTATCACTTGGCTGCTATAATGCACACTGTACATAAGTAAGTGTTTAGTTTAATGTATTCAGCATATCCAGAACAAAAAACGTATTGCATTTGATTCCAAGACAAATCTAGAGATGCTTTGGAAATGGAAAAATGCTCCGTTTCATCTCTTTCCCCTGCCACTCCAGCGCTTTCTTCAATAACATTTGATCTAATTTTCTTTCCCGTCCTTGGGTATTTCCCCACAGAAATGAAGGGATAGTGATTGCTGGGTAAGATTGGAGTGGATCTAATCTTCCACTGCTCTCAGTCATACTCCATTTCACTGCACATCTAATTTGTCACACTGCTGATGAATATGCCACAAGTTTCATGGGAAAGAGAGAAGGACATAATGAATATAAAACACACTGGGAGAGGGGAGAGGCAATTGTCGTACCGCGCTAACCACAATGCATTGTTCATTTGTCCTACCAAATTGCTGACACTATGCAAGCACTATATACATTGCTTTCCGCCCTCCAAATATATCAAGAGGTTAAAACAATGACAAACAACAAAGGTCGTATTGTTGCTGGCTTATAGGCGGACGCTCCACAGTCATATGCAATCATTGGGTCACCCTGTTTGTCAAAGGTATGCATACAACACCCCCCTCAATGCTGTGCTCCCCACTATAGAAATGCTTGAAGAGAGGCATGCTTGTACTGCTCATATGGAGCCACATTTTGAGGCAGCTGTATTTTACAGAGATACATTTGCAGAAGGTTTTTAAATCCATTATTGCAAAGCAGCAAGTACCATAGTGTTGTATCTCATGCCTCAATTGAAGCACTGTTTCATCACAAGCTTTAAAAAGGCATTAACATCGAATTAAAACAACCCAAGCAGATGGTATGAATTGCATCTGCATAATTATATTCTAATTTCATCATTACTCATTATTACTCTGGTTGTGATTGTCAGAGCGTTGAGACACTTGGCAGCGGTCCAAGTAGCATGCAACAAAGTGAATAGACAGGGTCAAAAATCTGTTCAAATGTTTCCTGGCAACCAGATTTCTCTGTGTTCAAGGCAGCAATTTGAAAACAATAAAAAGTTGCTTTTAAAAGTTGCCCACTACAGAAATGCAGCTACGTAACTCAGCAAATAAGAGTGAGAGACAGATTTTAAAACTGATTGTATGAAGACATTCTAAAGCGTTTGGTTCTGTCCATCATGCTTGTGCTCAATTCATTGAAGGGCTGAGAGTGAATGTCTCTTTAAAAAAGGGAGATGATAGAATCTGTGAGCAGAGCTGCTGCATCACCTATCCATGAGACTGGAGAGCGGCTGATGAGAAAGCCCTTCAGGACTCTTCTCTAAATAGGCATGAAATGATATCTCCCTCTGACTGAGATTAGCGTCCATGGAGCCTCTTGCGCTCTGCCCCCTCTTTTCCTCAGGCTCTCCAACCCAACGGAGCGCTTTGCAGTTTCAGCTCGTTTGTGTTCAAGTTTAAGAAAGTTCATTTTCGTCAGGAGGTGCTCTCTGTGTCCTTCATCTTTCTTTGTGTGGGTCCCGCAGGGTTTTTCACAAGTTCTGATGGGATCCGGTAAACCATATGTAATGTGGAAATAATAATATTCAAGGTATATGATACGTTGTACAAAACTTGATACCTGATATGTGATTTTTCATTTTTTTCTAAAGAACGCTTAAAGAAAGTTATACATAAAATATATAGGAAAAGCTCAATTATACATGCAAAATCACAAAAATCGGCATGCTAAAAGAAGTCTCTTTACTGTCAAATCTATTCTTTTACCCTTGGCTATTCAATATGGACCATTTGGGGGAAAAAAACTGAGAGTTGCTCATAGTGGTGAAACCACAGATTTATCACCAACTATACCCTTCAGCTCTTTGGCATCTTATAACTTCTTGCTTATTGTTTTTTTAACTGTTTTTGGCTCACCCTCATCATGCTACCTAGACTGTGAAAGTTAGGGGCCACCTGGTCAAGATCATGGAACATTTAGCAGCTAAAACCACAGATACTTAAACTCAGGAGTTGGAGGAGACCAAAAACAGAGCTACAACGACGAGAAATTCCAAATGTAATTCTATGTTTTAGTTTACAAGGAAGACCCAATCATGAGGCACTGTCACAGAGACAGAGAATATTCTTGTAATGATGGATGGAGATGGGTTGAAGGGATGACTGAGACCAGTTAGGCGGCGTGGCAGTGATGGCGAAGAGAGTAGAAAAAACTGGAAGACAGGCCAGCAACGATCCTAGAGCAAAGGATAGCATAGCATAGCTACCACACTGGCAAAAAGAGTTGGAAATTAGGTGGGGTTGATTTGCAGGAGAGGCGCTGAGCTGATCACAGGCAGGTGTGCAGCAATACGGGAGACACACACATAAACACATACACAAATATTGGCAAAAAGGGGACAAGTAAGACACAGCAGGAGTAAAGAACAATTCGGGAAACACAAGGAAAAGACATGCTAATGTTGCTCTGTGTTTGTTGGATGTATATTAGTCATCCGTAGGCTAATACTTTCCCACATGAAGTTAAAAGATGATGATATTTCTGTTTGGTAACCATAGCTTGTTTCCGCTGCCCCTAAGTCATTGGAAAATCAGTAATTGCAAGATTAAAATGTCAGTCCACTATGAACTTTTTGCAGCCTTAGCACTCGCCTGAAAGCTGTCATTTGCAGCAGCCCCTTTTTATATTTGATGAACCCCACCCCGACACAGCATACACCTGTAGGCTCAAAAAGGGGAAGTTATTATTGTCACTCAATCCCTGCTCTACTCAGCTGGTTATATATTGGTACAGAAACAAGAATAGAGCTTAGACACCAAATATGATCAATATGATATAATATTGTACATATTCAGCAATCAAACCTTGGATCAGAAGTTGATGCTCTTGGGGGCTTTTGTCTCGAATAAAGATTTGGGGTCCACTTCGAAAGTGTGCTTTTGACATGTTAGACGACATTGTTGACATTTAATAGAAATATCTTTCTCCCTTTATTTGAGTTTTGTAAAAGATTTGGGGCTTAAAAGGACATGAATGCAGCTCTTTGAAAACTGGTGCAGTGTTGATGGCAACCTGAAGACTGAGCCTGTTTCTATGTATCATGTTACTGAGGAAATTAGAAAAGCTAATAGCTCTGGATATTATCATGGTGTTCTGGGTGACACATTTATTGTATATTTTGCGGTGTGGTTAAAGGGGGGGAGCGGGAAGGGAATATGCAATCCATAAAATCCTGCAGAAGTGTTTTAGAATGTCTGGGCCATACCACGTTTTACACTTTCACAAATAATTGGGAGCTTGTGGTCGTTTGGTACTTCTGTTTTTATGTGTTTTGTGGTTTTTGGGGAGACTGGTGAACACTTTCTCATACATGTTTGCTGTTCCCTGTGAACCATACAGTTAGATCATGAATGCATCTCTAAGCTCACCTAATGTAGAGGTCTTATGGACTTATTGAAAATGCTAGGTTGTGATGCAAATGAATCCCAATGAGTGAAACACGAGCAGAGAAACTTATTTCATACCATATGCCAGATATGATAAATATTTTATTTCTGATCAGCAAAAGACACACAATTGATGCATTTGTATCTTTCATGACTTTTCAGTACAGAGGAAAAACCCAAACATATACACAGTATGGGTATATATGTATATGGGTATATTTTAAAGTGCAAGTGATTCACAAGGGTCAATCATGCGTTACATAGCATCTGTATCAGGAACTTCAGTAACATCCTTAAATCCTCTATATGCTTTTTAATCTGATAGTAAAATAACTGTCACTTATATATATATATATATATATGAATACAAAATAAACTTTACTAGTCACTGAAGCTTTGTGATTTAGTTTTAGCACGACATTTATCTATTTCAAGTCTTGAGAGGAAAGAGTACCATGACGTGTTAGAAGCGAAGGAGACTCTAGTGTTGACAGGAAAACAGTTTCACAAAACTCACCATGGGTCGAATTTAATAATGCTCCAATACCACCTTAAGCACCCTTTACTTGAATTAAAATCTAAAAACGCAACTAATACACTTTTCTCTCTTTTAGTTTTTCCTAACAGCCTTCACGGGTCACCTAACTCGGGCATGTCCTCGTCGAAGCAGACATTCAGTATACAGGTACATTCTCTGAAATTACCATTACATTTAACCTGGTGAGGAAACAGTCAATTTGCTCTTGCCAAACATATTTGACACGAGGAAAGTTCATAAAAAAAAATATATATGAAGACACGGATAGACAATCAAATGCTTGAATGTGAGTGTGGACTGATGCTGAGCTGTGTGTTGACAAACCAGAGCGGGCATCTGGACAGACTCAGACAGAGAAACAGTTTAGCAGCAGCTGTTGGGTTTCGGATTTACCCATGGACAACAAAGATACAGACATATGTATCAATAGTACATGTAGAAGCCCTGACCCTTCAGGATGCAAAATATAACCGATTTTCATACACTGGGAAAATAAAACATGTCTCCATGGCACATGTGCTGAATGTTTCAATGCCCTTTATAGTGGTTAAGATGCAAAGTGCATATTTAACATAAAATATTAAGCTAGGATATACAACAGTGTGACGATAGCTCTTAACCTCCCAAGTGATTCCTTCAGAACTGCGCTCCTTTTGCACCAAATGACACAAAAATAAATGCTCATATTCACAGAACAAAAAAAGAAACCCCACTTTACAAAAAACACAGAAACGGAAAGTAATATAGAGGAGCAATGCCTTCACACTGTGAGTGCAGCATGAACGCACACACACTGATGCTTTATTCAGACAGCATAAGCTTGCACTGAATGAAATAAAGGACCATTTCTGTGTTGCTGTGAATCCTTTGTATGTGAGATTATTGCATAGTTTGGAGTTCTTAACATAGCTTTTACTTTGACACTGGCATCTCTGTTTCTGGTCTGCGCTGCACTCTTATTGTCAAGGACAATGTAGGAATTATTTTCTGAAATAAAATCTTTATTACATCATTTTGTTATACAACTATTTTCAAGGTTTTAAACTTTGAAGAATGGGTGTTTTCAGAGTGAACTAAACCCAGCCCTGGTTTTCACATAAATCTCTACATTGCATTTTCAATGTGCACGAACATTTGCAATTTGCTGCCAAACAAAAACTAACATTAACCATTGAACGTTTTAATGACATTGTGGCTCAAAAACCCCATCTTTCTACCAGGTACAGATAAAACAAACACCAGCATAAAGTGACTGTGGCTCTGATCTGATCTACTGATTCGGAGTGATTGTCTCAGTCTCTGAATGCCATGAAACATGCAGTATTATCTGAGAAAATGTCCAGCTTTCATGTGATGTTTTTGTATGAGACTTGCCAATTGGATAGAGTCTACCACTAACATAAACTTCTTGTTTCTGTCATTTGAACCGATAACACTGTACCACAAACATGTGATAATTTGTGCTGCAAAAGTGGACTTAGGAACATTTTTTTAATGTTAGCTTCGCCTACTTAGCTCTGCATATTTTATGTTGTGTTGTTAGAAACCAAGGGTCCAGGGGCTTTAAAAGCTTCTTGACCAAGAGCTAAAGTAGATACAGACACCACAGTATGTATTCCTATCATGCATGCGACTATTTCTCTTGCATCTTTCCCATATCTGTCTCTACTCTATAATAACAGAACATACACATTAATACAATTAAATACAAAAATAAATAATAACAGGAAAAAAATGCGAAGAGAAGCACCGCAAACTAGGGCGTAACAATCAAAAGACTTAATGCTGGTGTTTGTTTTACTGTGATTCTACCTGGTTACTCCTCAATAGCAGCTGCAATGGCGACTTTTTTTTTTTTTCAACCAGAAAATGTGTCAAAATGAAGCTATGGTTTTGTTGTGGTCCCTTATAACACCCATTAAGTAGATCCCCTGACTTGAATGGCCAACATTGTTCCCCTATGGCCAGCACAGAGTCATGACATGGGTCCCATTCAGTCACCAGAGTGTCAGCTCACTTCTCTTTTTGGCATAGAGCTCATGTTCAAATAGGAGCCATGACTGAACTGCTTTTTATTTTTAAATCTGTAAACTAAGTAAAACTAAAATAATGCAATTAAATAATATAGTAGGAAAATAAATATCATCCAACAAGGCTTATTTTTTGTTTTAAATATACACTCTTAATCTTGACACTGGAAGTCAGTGTGTATGTCAGGGTATTCACCTCAGAGAATCATCAGTCTAAGAAGATGGCTGCTCTCTCATCGGTGAAGTCGCTAATCAGCTACTGCACATACACACCTGCTTCACGCTCAGTTCAGAACATGGATACAGATTCCTCTAAACATGGTCCCATATATATCTCAACAGTCATATGCATTACAAGTGGATACTAGATATACACAATGGATTTTTTTCTGACAGTTAGACTTGGCCTCGACCTGGACATGTGCAGGATGATGATTTGAAACACATGGCTGCATCCGCCATCAGAAAAAAATTATAAGATACTATTTTGGTTTTTCATGAATAGCATTCAGGGCAGTTAGAAGTTTTTTGGTCAGTTTAAGGTTATCATTAAAACCTCTACAGACCTCACTCCGTATGAACACGCTCTTTTAGAGGGCTAGCTATGGCTGTCTCAGATAACTTACAGTACATTTTCATTGTTATGTTAGTCAGAAAATAGATATGAAACTAATTTCCACATCTCATGCTCACAATTTGACTGGCCTCACTGCTGAAATATTTAGATACATCTACCAATAACTCCCCATTCCTATAAATGAACTACTAATAATCCAACTACAGATCTCTATTCATGAATAAATGTCGGGATTATGAAATGTTTGTCTTTTTAAAGTATGGATTTGTGCACTAGAGGTGTGAACCACTATGGCTGTTCTTTTCTTATCTTTTTTTTTTGTTGTGGCTTTGCATCAAAAGACTTGTTAAGGGTTCATCTCTGTTGGAGGAGGTGAAGAGGACCATGTCGCACAGATGCAACAGCCACATGTTCAACACTAAACTGTGAGCGGACTCGATGGAAAGGGGATTTCTCTCAAGCCTAAAGTGTAGGATATACAATATAACAACAATCAAACTCTGATATCAACTCTATGGGCGCTCCGGCATTCCCTAGAGGTGCACGTTTCTGTAACTTCCAGTCTAAGCGGAGGAATGGACTTTAACACCCCGAGGGAATAGAGGAGCTTTCATGAAGTTTTGAGGAGTGTGTGGAATTTCTGAATCTGAGTTAGGAGTTGTCACTGGCAGAGCGTTTTTTGCCAAAATGACTGGCAGAGTCTCTGTTTCGCAGATTAGGCTGGGTCTTGTACATATGGGGACCCATGGACCAGCGCCAGCTCCCACGGCTCTCCACTCCAGTTGGGATGGCGGCAGCTGCAGCCACAGCAGTGGATGGGCAGGGCTTGTTCTGCAGCAGCTGAATAAGCATGGTCATCTCTGGGCCCAGCCGCGACACCATGCTGGTCCTAACGCGCTCCACTGTGTCCTCATCACAGTCCATCAGGCTCTGTAGCAGCTTACCATAAAACCTACAGAACAAAAACATCCCAGATTGTGAGGATCAAAAAGGACAAATCAGAACAGCATGGCTCTTTAGTGCATTTCGTCTTCTTCTACCTGCTTACAGTTATGACTTTGTATTTCCACACATGCTCTCTATAGTCTGAAGTCATCCATATGGGAGTGACCTTCCCTTCTCCAGTCACTACTAAGCCTTGTGCTAGCCCTTTTGTATCCACTCCCAAACTGCAATCCCACATGTAACAATAGGAACAAAAAACACAAAAAACTCGATACTCCTGTTTCATTTATTTCTTTGTATGAAAGAATGTATGAAGCAGATGGTAACCAAAACATGGAAATCAATACAAATGTGGTAATTTGTTATGCTGCACAAATGAGGAGGACATTTGGTATTTGCAACAAGACAATCCTGTATATTTGTGATTCAAAAATATGTCTCATTCACTTAAAGCTAGCTACACTGACAGTCTGATTACTGGAGAAATAAAATCTACTCTGTGGTCAAAGAGCCTGTTGAACATCATCAGCTTCAAACTCTGACATGCCGATTGACATACAATGTGTCCTCATAACCTTAATCAAGTCGTGTTTTGTTTATATATTAGAGGAAGGGCTCACCTATTGGGGAAGTGACTTGGTAGCTGTGCCACTTCTCCAATAGCGTCTGGATTCGATCGGGCAACAGTGCAGATATCCAGCTTGCTGTAGCACTCCTCCTGGACTTCGGAGATCATTCTTTGGAAGGTGGAGCAGCGGCGGATGGTGGGGAATGCCTTCGATGTGATGCCATTGGCAATGCACTTAAGGCTCTCCTTCACAAATGCTTTACCCTGTAAAAACACAGCAGCGCTTTACACATTCTTGCCCTGACAGTTACACCCATGTAATCCTATACACACCGGTAGAAATATAAGTCATTGTGAGATGAATTAGACTGTGTACCTGAGTGTCAAATTTAGCAGCACTGTATAGGAAGGACTTGCAGATGTCATGCATGCCATCTGTGTCACAAGTTGAGTTTTCCAGGCAGGCGAAGGCTCCGCAGCCAACTTGGAGGGCACTGTTGAGACAGCGTGCCACATCTGCTGTGGGCACAGAGAATGAAGCATCAGCAGGGGAGCCAGCAGTGGGTGCACTGGGAATAACTGCACACTCTCTGAGCTCATTACACAAGGGTTGCCAGGGTTTCAGCTAAAATATGTGGCGGACAAAGGAGAAATTTCATACTTTGGTGATTCACAAAAGACATACAGTCACTTGGGGCAAATAGTGACTTGACTGGAGACTTGGACACCTTACAACGCAGAGAGTTTCAGACACTATTTGGCATTAAAACGCTTTTCTCTTGGCAAGGACGTATATTCCACTGTTTGGTTCTATTCAGCAGAGCTTGGATGAACTGCACCAGAAATACCAAAGACTTTACTGAAAATTGTTGGCGTGCCTGTAGAAACACACAAACCTACACTTGTACCACTGGCTCACACACACACACACACACACACACACACACACACACACACACACACACACACACACACACACACACACACACACGCACACACACTTCCACCAGACTCTGTCTTCAAGCTGAATTTGAGGACTCTGCTGTAAACCACTTTAACATTTTTGACTAATAACCAAGCGCAGTCCTATTAAATATCCAGAATGTATCCAATAAACATCTACCACATTAAATACATGCTGCCATATTCATTTCAGTAGCCTCGCAATAACCGGAATAGTTATTAGGCTGATTAACCCACAAGTAACCCTGATCCCCATCTTTGTAAAACCAATGAAACAGCTACCCTGCAACATCACTCATTCATTATCCCAAAACTAATCTCTGCCATAAGGAACACAGTCTTAATTCCATGCAACCGACATGAAATGTTACACCAGTAATGGGCTATAAACATAATCCGTAAATCAGTGTGTCCAGTTAGTTGGCTTTCCTTATTCCTCATCCAAGAATCCACTGAGATTGCAAGCAGCCTGACTCAAATCCCTCGTAATAACCATTAAGAAATGTCACCGCGGAGCCTAAGCCTACTTGGCAGACTTTGAATCTGGGGCCCCATGTTGACCTGCATAGTCAGATAAAGTCTGCCTGCCATCAGGGACCAGAGATTGCTCTCAATATACAGAGAATGAGCTGCGAATCTTATGATGATGAAGCAATTCCTGCGGAAGGGAATCAGCATCCCTGTCACCCACTGGGCTGTACCTTTTGTGCTAAAAAAGGAAGTCATGTTTTAAAAAGCCATGCAGAGTCATGCTTGATTATGATTATTCCAAGGGATTATGACTCATGCCATTATTTGTATTTGATTGAACCATGTGGACTAACAGGGTTATATTTAATTGTCAAAAAGGCACAGCCCTAGTGACAAACAATGTTAAAAACACACTATTGTTCTGACTTGAAGGCTGTACATGAAGGCTACATGGGAAGCTTTATGTTTTATGCACTGAAAAATCCCTATAATGCTTAATAGTAAGACCTATGCAGCAAATGAGAAGGAGACTACCAGCATGACACAGCCTGCTCTCAGGTGTCAGCTCCAAGCTCCATGCTCATCTGTTGCCGGCAGGACACCGGCGAAAACCACAGCGTTAATCCCGCAGCCTTCTCCATGAATCAACGCACTCGTTTAGACAGAAAAGGCTGCATAGGCCAAAATAAATTATGAAAAAAACAATCTCCACATAGTAAGCGAGCAAAGGTAAGCCTGTGCATTGTGGAAACGGTGTGTAAAAAAGCAAGCAGTGCACTCTGAGATATGCAGATGGAGGCAGCGTGTTACTTACAAGGGCTATTGGAGGAAAAGCGTGCTCTCCTGGGCGAATAAGACTCGTTTTGATCCAGTTCATATGCAGATGCGTTCAGCACCATCAGGAGAAAAAGTCCGGTCCTCAAAGGCATCGTCCTCTCAACACAGATAATACAACTAAATGTAAAGAGACGCCTCCTGCTCTGTGTGTAAATCATAAGAATAGCGCTCCAAAAAGCTTCTGCAGCACCGAAAACACACTAAACGAAGGCTACCACAAGTAAGCTGCCAGCAATGTCTTTACACTGGACTCCTCACAATGCTTTTGACTTGAATGACAGATAGCACCGATGTCAAGTCTGCATGGGTTTATATGGGAGCGCTGAACATTACGAGTGCTGCGTTTGGACCAATCAGGACGCAGGATTCAAGACCGTGGTCCTGGTCTTTCCACTACTAATTGATACAATCTTTTAACAGCGGCAAACACTGTGCATCCCACACAGCTCAACATGATAAAAGATGTCCATTATCTATTATAATGACAATACAAAACTGAAGGGCTCACTATATATAGGCTTTATATTTTTCAGTCAAAAGTTTCCCCTATAGAAACTTTGGTATCACTTTACAATAAGACTACTCTTATAAAGGGTTTACGAATAGTTTGTAATTAATTTATTAATTAGGTTGTGAACACTTTATTAAATCATGAATAAGCTTTTATAAGACATGAGATAAACAGGGCAACTGTGACTGGTTGCTTGCCAAATAGTGAGCCCACATTTATCTGTAGCCTACTGCTAAACCTTATTAGAAATGGTAGTAACTCATTGATAAATGGGAATGTGTTTTACACTTTACAAGGCTCCCTTTTGGCAACTATACATGTTAGTAACTCATTAATAAATGGTCATAAAGAGATGCCAAGAAACAACAAGATGGAAGGGGGGGAATCAACTCGGTGAGCAACAGATACCAAGGATGCTGGCTGATGAAGAAGACGAAGTAAGCTAGGTAACCAATATAAGACTTAGTCATCTTGCCAAATAGTGAGCCCACATTCATATGTACTGCTAAGCCTTATATTGGCTACCTAGCTTACTTCATCTTCTTCATCAGCCAGCATCCTTGGTATCTGTTGTTCACTGAGTTGATTCTCGCTAAGTAACCAATATAAGGCTCAGTCATCTTGCCAAATAGTGAGCCTGTGTTGATGTATGAAATGTTAGAACTGGTTTATAAATGGTTCTTAATGATTAATAAAGTGTTTACAACCTAATTAATAACCTAATTATAAACCCTTTATCAATCCTTTATAAGGGTATAGTCTTATTGTAAAGTGGTACCGAAACTTTTTTTAAATGACTGCAATTATGGTGTGTTTCAAGCTTTTAGTGACTGTTATATAATCTCATCCTTTCCACCCTGTGTCTTCATCATTGAAGTAACCAATCACCACCGTTATCACGTATTACTGTATAATGTGATTTTCGGCTCATATACAGATATACATATCAACAGCCTCAATATTATGGATGACATTGTTTGAAGAAACGCATTTTGACTAAAACATAAGAACCATAGCTGACGAGATGCTTCCATAAATAACTAAATGAAAAAAATATTGGGGTTCGGGAATGTATTTCTCCCCTCATCCCAGATTCATATTTTATTTATTTTAACTTATTGGTATAAACATATCAAATACAGTTACAAAGTACAAAAAGGTGAGCTTTGCAGGGGATAACCATCCTCTGTCTATATTGGAAATGTACTTTCCACCATCTACAGTATGTGTAGCTAGTAGGCCTACTACTAATTTGTTATTTAGAGACACACAGAAAGCATGAAGATCTGTATATTCACTGCAGACAGAACAATATCTCAAAGGAAGAACAAAATGTGTCAATTGTTATAAAAAGTTAGTTTAAATAAAAACATTAAAAAAGGTGTTTAGCATCATACACTGCTCACTTATTTGCATTTCAAGTTTTGGTGACGCAAGTTTGAAAATGCCAATATGGACCATTAATGCCCATATTTCTTTTTATCTGAACGCACGCACGCACGCACGCACGCACGCACGCACGCACGCACACACGTTGTATTACATGCTCTAAACTTGTAGCTTCTTTTATACAAATGACCTTGTGTCTCTAAATCAATTTCCTAAATTTGCGCAGGGCTAATTTCATTAATGTGCATATTGGTGTCTGTTGTAAAACATCTTTACTCCATTAAGCTTATTACAGTTTTTCTCGATTGCTAACACACGTTTTTAAATTGCTCAGTTTCTCAGAACACGCAACACAATTCACAAAACCACACACCCAAAGTGCAAAACACCTCATTTCTCCTGCTAAGTGAAGAACTGCACTCAAAACTACATAAACACTTACCAAATGCAAACTTTAGCACCAAATATAACACACTTCATTCATAATACTAGATTGTTTGACCACCCAACTACACACTGCTGAGCATAATCTAAAGCACTTTCATCTTTTATGGGCTATGCTCTGGTTTCTGCAGAGAAAGATTGCTTGAGTATACAGAAATACAGTAAAGGAAGAAATACAAATGAGTTGTTGAAAAAAATCACATTTTATTCAAAAATAACATTGTGCAACATGCATCTCAGCACATAGTTACAGTTGGTTCTGTAACGCAAAACAAAAATGATGCTTCTTTCAAATACAGTAGATAGAAAGAAAACATATTTTGAGCAAAAAACAAAGGAAAGGAAAAAATGCTTAGGCTGCATCTCGCCGCCTATAGCAGGGTCTGGCCACAGCACTTCATCCACATCACAGGCGATGTTTTCCCTGGCTAAACAGCGCGGGAAGAAGCGTCTTGAGTGACGTATCCAGCCCTGGATAGCATTCACATTCACGTCATCACATGCCTCCTCCATGGCCTGCAGAAGAGGCATGCGCTCATAGGGCCGACGGTCATACACCTTCCACCGCCATGCCGAGAAGAACTCTTCAATTGGATTGAGAAATGGAGAGCAGGGTGGAAGATATTGTAGGCGGAATTGTTGGTGCTCAACAAACCAGTTTTGGACTAAGACAGCACGATGGAAGCTGACATTGTCCCATCCCACAACATATCTAGGCTGCTCTGCATGATGAACATGGTCTGCCTGGGTCAAAATGTGGTGCAGTCTGTCCAGAAATGTTAGAATGTGGGCTGTGTTATATGGACCAAGGTGGGCATGGCGGTGGAGGACACCATTTTGTTTGATCGCAGCACACATTGTGATGTGGCCACCACGTTGGCCAGGGACATCTATGATGGCTCTGTGACCAATAATGTTCCTACCCCTTCTCCTGGTCTTTGTGAGGTTGAAGCCAGCCTCGTCAATAAAAATAAATTCATGTCTGATGACATCAGCATCCATTTCCAGTACTCTCTGAAAACAAAAAATACAGTAAAATCAATCAAAGTGGTTTAGACAAATACAAAAAAGATTGCTGTGCTATGTGTGGATTACTGAATCAATGGTCTATTACAGTACTTTAGTCAATGTTGTACTTACATCCGCATATTGATGTCTCAGGTCTTTCACCCTTTCAGCATTTCTCTCAAAGGGCACCCTGTACAGCTGCTTCATCTGAACCTGGTTACGCTGGAGAACACGGGCCAATGTGGACAGGCTGACTTGCCTGATGTTGTTGAAAATGTTGTTCTTCCTTATGATGTGGTTTCGGATCTCTCTAAGTGTGATGGCATTGTTTGCTAAAACCAAGTTTGTAACTGCTCCTTCCTGTGCCTCATTGAAAATCCTTAGCCTTCCACCTGCACCTCTTTTTTTCTCAGTCCTTCAGATAAACAACAAAGATATAGTGGTTGGTCAGTGTCTGTGTTGCATAAAAGTAAGTTTACCACAGTAAATTGTGCAGGATTTTTGTACAGTTATAGTATGCAACATGCCAACAATTCAATTACAGTAATGAAGTAAATACGTTTCACACAACAGATATAAGCACTGATATATCATGAATTATGAAAAACTGGTAACGTGTTTTCAAGTCTAAGTGTCCGGATTACAGAGGCAACAGTACATCGGCTTAGATTAGGCTGAACCCTCTGTCCAGCCTCTCTCATCGACAAACCATGGTTGATAACATGGTCAACCAAAGTGGCCCGGATTTCATTAGAGAGCATTCTTCTTTGTCCACGTCCTCTCCCCCCAGCTCTACCTCTACCTCTCATTCCTCCTCCTCTCACTCTCTGTTGCTGTAAGAGAGTACTCACCTGTGGTCTTTTTATAGTGCTAACATCCTGATTGATGAGCCAACAATTATTGTTAGCAATCGAGAAAAACTGTAACCAACCTGAGTAATGTTCTTTGCCAGACTTAAACGCCTTTGTTCAAATATCACCGCAGGATAATCAAATGACACATCTTATTTTTGTTATCATTCTGGCATTTTCCCGAACCGTGACGCCATTGTTGCTTTAACTTAGGGGAATCTACTTAACATGTAGATAAACTACCTGTGTTGTTGACATAAAGTGTGGGTAATATTTTGCCGTTGACCTAATTCTCCATTCTCCTCTTCCTAAGCCTGTGTAATGTTGGCTCGGAGTCCGCGAACTTGCAGCTGCACGTGCCGGCATACAGAGGATGATGTGTGGGACTCTAAGCTATCATTAATCATGGAGGCCTCACGCCTCTTCACACAGTGCAACGCTCAACTGTTACAGACAGATTCACACACTAGGAAGCCGAATGATCCCGATGATAGAAACGTAGAGTGAAAGAAATAGAAGAACAAAAGAAACTTTCCAGTTACTGTACAGTAAGTTCTTCTCTTGCCGTCAGATAACAGTTCATCACCTGTATGTGTGCCAAGCATTAATCACCCCCATTAGTTCTCCCAGTAGTAAAAGATGAATGGTATTTTCTTTGCATGTTATGTCAAATCACTTCTCTGTTCCCGAGGTGTTTAACAAAGCAGAAAGGGCCTCTTTGTGCTCCTCTGGTCGTCTCTGGCAATCTTTGTGCTACAAATCTAATTTCTTCCCAGAGAGTTGTCAGTTAGGCATGATGTCAAGCTGTTGGCACCTTATCTCTGCTGGGGAATCAAAATATGGGCCCCTGCCAGCTGAGCCAATAGACTTTGTAATGGAAAGATAATATGAATGTAACTGCTTAACGAATAAGCTATTATCCACTGTCACATTCAATCATTATCAACATCCCAGTCTCCAAAGGGCATAAGTTAGACATACGAACTGTACATTCTTACCTTAAGCTTTTCTCACTGTTACAGAAAAGGAGTTTCCAGAGTGATGACTGTTTCTTTTCCCTGCAAATTAGATGCGGAAAACAGAATA